ACAGTTATGAAGTAGCAACGAAAATAATTTTATGGTTGGGGGTCACCACAACATGAGGAGCTGTATTAAAGGGTCGCAGCATTAAGAAGGTTGAGAACCACTGCTCTAAACTCACGCAGCCACTTCATAAACACTTGCTATGTGCATGAAGGTCACGATTGGAAGGTGGCTTTTCCTGTCCGGAACTCAAGAAACAACGTTCCGCAGAGGAACCTACGTGTCTCATGGTGACGCTGCTCAAGGTGGCCTCGGCTAGCCCAGCTTCCCAGGCTTTTCCAATCACTGCCCACCCCACAAAAGCTACAGAATATGCTGGAAAGTCAACTGTGCAAAAAGACGAACAGTTTACATCTTCAAGCCAAAAAGTATTCTAGCGTCCTTATTTACACTTTGCCTTCCAAACCTAACTTGGAAAAAAGAAATGAATTTAAATATAACTTTCAATGATATATTTCTAGAATACATTCACACACTCCTTATTTTTGTTTTTTTTTCCTAAACCAAATGAAAGTAAGTCAACGAGCTTAAATTCAAAAAATGTCTGAAGCTACAATTTTGTTACTTTCAGTTTACTTTGTCCTTCTTTGTCTTAAAGTCCCTCATTTTAGATCAATGCTCTGATAACTACGTTCCAAAACTTCCTTTTTCTATTTTCACTAATGCTTATGAAGCAAGAAGAAAAAATACAATTTAAAATTTCCAATAATCTCTACAGAGCACAGCACTGCTGTGAAGAGGAAGGCGGAGATGCGACATGGAATGCCCTTCGGCGGGCAGCGCGGCGGGGGGGTCGCCTGAAAGAGCAGCCTGTCAGGAAAGTCATGAGAGTTCAACTGGAAAGAGATAGTGTGGACACACATTCTGTTTCCCTACCGGCAATGCAGGTGGGAAGTTTTAGAGACCAAGTGGCAGACCTTGAAGTGTCAAGCAAATCATAATCAGTCCCGGACTCCTTTGATTCCACGAACTGTGTGTCTCAGTTAGGATAGGTGAGGCTGTGCTGCAGGAACAAACAGCTCCTAAAATCTTAGGAGTATAAAGCAACAAACATTCACATGCCAGTCACACTACATGTCCGTCAAGGATCATCGCGTGACTCTGTTCCAGGACTCAGATGGGTGAAGTCGCTGCTTCTAGAACATTGCCAAGACCCATGGCAAAGGAATGGAGCTTTTAGAGGCTCTCATACCACCAACCATGACATACGTCTCTCCTCACAACTCAGATACCAAACCAGCGACATGGCCAACCCAACCGCGTGGGAATCGGGAAGCCAGAAACGTTTTGCAAATAGCACCAGTAACCGCCTCACGGGGTGGCCTTCAGGGGGCGGGGATTTGGAATGTGTATGCATCTGTGCTGTAATCTGGTAAGATCTTTCCTGTTCCTTTTAACCAACAGGGGGATTGACCCAGTCCCAAAAATGACCACTCCTGAGCAATTCTATTCCAAGGTCATGGAGACCCTGAAGTACCTCAACGCCCGCCTGCCGAAGGGCAGCCACGTGATTCTGTACGGCTTGCCGGACGGGACCTTCCTCTGGGATCATTTGCACAGCAGATACCATCCTCTCGGTATTGTTCTGAAGATCCTGTTACGCTTTAACGATGTCAGTGTACATACAGTTGCAATGCAGATAGTTCACATCACGTAGGAACACACTTAACATGCCACCACAGTGCATGCATCAGCACGGATGCAGGGAAGCGCCCCCCAGCTGCAGGGTCTAGAGGTCAGGATCCAACGGTGGGCAGAACCAGGTCCAAAGCCGGAAGGGGCAGGAGTAGTGGACGAAGAATTAGGACAAATTGAAAGGTAAGAGTTTCAGTCAGGAAACTCCTTTCACTGAAGGTGAGATCTAAAAACGAGCTGATGAAGCCCAAACAAGAGACAGAAAGCCCGAGTCAAAGGGAGGATTTCTCCAAATCTCGGTGGGGAGTGAATGCCCCCTGGTGGCCAGGTGGCATTCCGTCGCCCGCAGCCCTGGGAGGGCTGGTTCTGGCTTCCACACTCTCACCATCTGCGGCAGAGAGATAATGTTCCTCCTCTCTGACAAGAAAATTGAATCTATCGTTCAGCCTAACTGATGTGAGGCGCAAGTGAGAAATAAGGCCGTTCCGTCACCTTCAATCTCTCTCTTCGCTCCCAGATAGGGCCTCTTATTTCTCTTTACTTTTTGGAGCGTGAGAGAGTGCTAATGAGTAAGACACCAGCCATTGCCCTTGAGAGTGTGTGTGGGGGCGGGGAGGGGGGGGAACCTGGGTTCTGTGTCTGAGCCACAGCTCGGAAGTGGGGGTGCCTCAGGGGCGGGGATGCTGTAAGGAGGGAGGGGAGACGTGGGAGAAGAAACAGCCCCCACAGATTCTGGCCCTGCAGCTGACCTTTACAGGTGACCTCCCACACCGTCTGTCATCTTCACTCTTGGTGCCTCTCTAATTTGCACCAAATAATCAGTGTGGAGCATATCTACGCTTCGGGGCTCAGATAAGCTCGCTGGGCCGTGCAGGGATGTGGTGGCTGCCTCCCCCTTCCGTGGCCGCCCATGCACTTGGGGAGGCCTTCAGCCCCCCACGCAGGGCGGCGCATGGCAGCCTTCAGACACGCGCACTGCCCTGCCCGCCCTCACCAGGGGTCACTGGTCAGACCTGGGGTTTCATGAACTTGCACAGGAGGATTTGTCAACTGCCCCCGAGAGCTCCCATGCCCCCTGGGGACTTGGCACTTCATTGCCAGGAGAAAGCCATGCGGGACCAAGTCCATTGCTGGTGATGCTCTGGTCCCTCCAGGGCCCTGGCGTCCCTCTACCTGCGTCCAGATGTGGCCAGGCCCCTCGGGCCCGCCCTGCTGTGCCAACAGCTCACAGAGGAAGCAAACTCCTTAGCTCCTCCCCACTCCGGCTCTGAATGTCTAGGGCGTCCAGAAAGAAAGGAAGCACGGGCATTCCTAAGAGACATGCCAACTGTACATCAGGGCAGGTCCCTGGGCGTGCCAGCCTTCTGCAGGGGGGGGGAGGGGGGAGGGGAGCAGGGCCACCCTAACTGTCCCATTGGCTGCCACATCTGGGCTCGCTCTTTTCCAGGCCAGCTGAACGGGGACGTGACCTACGGGCAGTTGTACGCCTTCCTGAGCTGCCTTCAGGTGAGCTGGCCTGCTTGTCCCAAGGCCCAGCCCTCACTGTCTGTGCTCCCAGTAATCACAGTCCTCCCGCCCTCAGGTCAGTCCCTGCCACGGCTGGATGACGGCCAACGAGACCCTCCGGACACTCACCTCGCAGGTAGGCCCTGCGCAGGCGCTCAGCGGCATGTTGGGTCATTCTTGCTCTGCGTTTGCTGCAGTGTTTGCACTGGGGATGGGGTTTGGGCAGCATGCTGGCCCCCAAGCTGGAGAACAGAAACATCGAACTTCTGGGGGGCTTGACGGGGCCAGGGAATGTGGGGTGCCCTCCCTCTGCCCTTCCACCTCCTCTGGGTCTGTCACTCTTACCGTGTCTGTCAGTCACTGTATATGTGTGACTGTCTGTCTCTCTCCTATGTACATATGCATGTACACACACACACACACACACACACACACACCTTTGAGAGCCCGTTGTAGGCGTGTTTGTAGAGGTGGAGAGAAGTGAGCGAGGTGAGGCCCTGGTCTGAGTCCCCCCAAGTTCAGGGAGGACCGGCGCCCCAGAGCCTTCCTCTCCTCTCTGCAGGAGCTCGGGGCCCACGCAGCTCTTCCGCAGAAAATGAGCCTCCTCCTTATAAGAGACTCATTGAACTCTTTGTACAACTATACTTCTATTTTTTAAAAATATATTTTATTGATTTTTTTACAGAGAGGAAGGGAGAGAGATAGAGAGTTAGAAACATCGATGAGCGAGAAACATCGATCAGCTGCCTCCTGCACACCTCCCACTGGGGATGTGCCCACAACCAAGGTACATGCCCCCAACCGGAATCGAACCTGGGACCCTTCAGTCCACAGGCCGATGCTCCCCCAAGTTCAGGGAGGACCGGCGCCCCAGAGCCTTCCTCTCCTCTCTGCAGGAGCTCGGGGCCCACGCAGCTCTTCTGCAGAAAATGAGCCTCCTCCTTGTAAGAAACTCATTGAATTCCTTGTACAAATATACTTCCATTTTGAAAAACTTTGGAGAATGTTAAGAAAAGCACCAAGAACAGTAGCAAAGTTCACCCCAAATCCCACCACCCAAAGCTAGTACGTGTGCATGTCTTTCCAGTATCACTTTCATAGGTGTGGGGGTTGTGCCTACACCAGTGATGGCGAACCTCTGACACGCGAACTCGTTTTTTTGGTTGATTTTTCTTTGTTAAATGGCATTTAAATATATAAAACAAATATCAAAAATATGTCTTTGTTTTACTATGGTTGCAAATATCAAAAAATTTCTATATGTGACACGGCACCAGAGTTAAGTTAGGGTTTTTCAAAATGCTGACACGCCGAGCTCAAAAAGGTTCGCCATCACTGGCCTACACAGTCTCAGAATACACACGTGTTGTATGCCGTCTGACGTTCATCCGTTATCCCTCCACATCCTGACCTTGCGATCATTTTAGAGTGTACAACATAGGAATGTACCGTGATTTACTTCATCCCTTGGAGCTGGGCCTACAGGTCACAGAGGTTTCCAATTGTTCACTGTGATCAACAGCATTGGGATGGACGTGTGGGTGTGTGTGTGTGTGTGTGTGTGTGTGTGTGTGTGTGTATGTGTCTTTGTGTGCCATGTCTATTTCCTTAAGACAAATTTCTAGAAAAATGCCTGGGTCTAAGAGCGAGCTGTGTTTGAGGAGGTGACCCGTCTTGCTGAGCTGCTCTCAGAAAGGTTAAACAGACTGGCATTCTGGGTCTCCAATCCCCGGGCGCTCGTCTCCATTATCACGACTGCTCATCTTCCCCTCGCCGATCCCATCGGGGAGAGTGGTATCTTATTGCTTTCATTTGCGCCGATTTGGTTCCTAATGAAGTTTAACTGTTTGCATTCGCGTTGGCCGTGGGCAGGAGAGAAGTCACGGTACGGAGCTGCTGAGTGGCTCTGTGAGGATGGCTGGGGGGCGGGAGGGGGGGACCATTCATTTCTTTGTTCTGCCTGAATCACCCGCTCACTCCAGTCAAGGCCTAGGTTTCATGGAGCTCTCCCGTTTCTCTTGCACTCAGAGAGCAGCACAACTCTCCAATACACTGAAGAAGATTGCCACCAGCCAGAAATTTACCAGCTTCCGTCTTTACTACGTGGATTTTGACTTCCAAGAAAGTAAGTGTTGCTTGGCTAAGGTGATGACACCTTATCTTCACTGACACAGACAAGAGCTAAGGAGAGCCTGCCCCGGGCAGGTATAAACCCGCAGGCAGCAGGTTGGACGGGGTCTCCCCTGACATCCTCACACACTAATAGCTCCAGCACTGAAATAAGGCAGAGTGTGGCCCTCTGCCTGGGAAGCGGCAGCTCAGCATCACGCCTGATTTCACCGTCATCTTAGAAACCCTCAAACAACAGAGCCAGCAACGAGGTGGAAAACACTTCGGCAGGGGGCCAGCAGGTCGATGGAATCACCTCTGTCTGGCCAGTATCACAGCATCTGCTTACCAGTGGGCTACAGATGAGTGTGACGGGGATGAGGGCTAAGGCGGTGCCTCTCACAGTGGGCACTGAACTGCCTACTTAGTCACAATGCAGATTCCCAGGCCCTGCACAAAAAGAAATGAATCCAAGTCTCTATGGGATGACCTCAGATTTGCCTGTGGCAGGATGGACAGCCCGGGTCTCAGCTTCCTGGAAAGAACATTAGTATTTCTCTGCTGCCGTTCTGTCCAGACACAGGGGCCACTGAGGCGTGGCCACGGCAGTAGGCATGGTCCCAGAGCTACCATTTCTCCTTCGCACCTTGACTCTGAAAATTATTATTATTATTAAACATTTATTGATTTCAGAGAGGAAGGGAGAGGGAGAGAGATAGAAACATCAATGATGAGAATCATTGATTGGCTGCCTCCTGCACGCCCCCTACTGGGGGTTGAGCCCACAACCCAGGCATGTGCCCTTGGCCAGAATCGGGAATTGAACCCATGACCTCCTGGTTCATAGGTCAACACTCAACCACTGAGCCATGCCGGCCTGGCTGGAAAAAAAAATGATTTTTGATTGGCTTTAATCCTTCCAGTCTCGTGTTTATTGCTAAGCAATTGTTGTACAAGAGACACGCCTCCTGTTGATGGACTGACCTCTGGGGTGGCGCTAATGAAAAGCTTTGCCATGCATGCACAGGAAGGACCATTTCTCCTCAGAGGTTATCATCTCTGTCTCCCCACCCGCCCTCCCAGCCCGAGCAGCCAGGGGGAAGCAGATGGCCTGTGTGAATCATCGCAGATTACATTAGCTGACACGGCTGCATTGCAGAGTCTAGTACTTCAACTCTGAACATCTTCTCAACAAGACTGATCGCCCTTAACTAGATTTCCTGCCTAGGTGAGACCGATTTCTCTCATGAGGAGAGACATTTTGATGGATAGCCTCGCATTAAAATGCAGAGCTAACGACTCATTAATGAATTCCTGCTGTAAACAAATATACCGCCAAGGGATCTCTGATCATCGTCAACCTTGAACATAGATGAAGTTATTAAAAATATAATAACGTCTAACATGTGCAGGGAACATCCTCACTTTCCGAGGGAGCCCCCAGCTCTGTTACCTTTGGGATTACAGGCAGGTCCCCGCACATTTCTGAATGCTCCATCCCAGACCTGAAAAGGGGGCAGCCATATCTGTGGGACACATCTCAGCCATGGTTACAGGAACATGTGACCCCCCTCAATGCCGTGCCTGGGACACTGCTGGTCCCCAGGAAAGAGTACCATTGCCATCACGCCCTTGCTACCCAGCGTGTGGTGTAGGGCGAGCAGCATCCACTCCACCTGGGGGCTACTTATAAATGCAGAACCCCAGCTCCACTCCTCACTGGGGCCTAGGAATCTGCATTTCATAACAGTCCACAGACAATCCCATACACATTAAAATTTACTAAATGAGGCTCTACAATGCTGCCAGGTTAAGATTGTTAGTCAGTTAGGCATCAGGTTTTTGCTACGTGCTACCATGTGCTGTGAAGGTGCTGAGGATATAGCCCTCAACAAAACAGAACAGTCCTTATCTTCACAAAGGGTCTAGCCAGAAGACCTTGACCCTTGGCCCAGTGCTGGCCAGCATTCCATTGATAACCTTGATGCTTGCCAGGAGAGGTCATCAGCCCATTCTTATCCTCAGAACAGCAATAAATGCAGTAACAAAGCAAAAAAAAAAAAAGTCCAGTTAGACCGAACTGAACGTTCTAACCACATGGCAGTCGGCACTTTGCTGGGAAGCCTCCCTCTGTCTCTCGTGCTTAGCGATCCTCATCGACAGTTCAAGGACCTTCCTGAGGTTTTGTAATTTCCTGACAAAAACAAATAGGACGATTCCGCTGGTACAGGACCTCCCTCGCCTTCTCCATGTGAAGTCCATGCACACTGCACTGGGGAGGACAGACGGACGCGGTGGGAGGGAGAGTGGAGGCAGAGGGACCGGTGCCGGGATCCACCCTGGGATCAGCCGATGCAGCACCTCACATTTAACATCCAGGCGCCCAGTGTCTGCCTGAAAGAGCCGGAAGTTTATCTAGTTTCCAGGAACTGTATCGAGAACTTGACTTATGCCCCAAGTTCCGCTACTGCAAAGGGAATTTTGACCTTGAAAGCTGAGCATTTTTCAGAGCAGGCAGAGGGACCATCGCTCCTAGACCCGTCTCTGTGGGGAACTCCCCGCACCCGGCGGCTCACCGCCTGGCAATCTGGTCTACCCCGTGGGGGTGCATGTGCCCTTCCAGGAAAAGGCCAGAATTTACAACCGGATAGAACTGTGTGCCTGTCCCGACTCAGACCCAGAGTAACTGCAACCTCGAGCACATGGAATAGCCACACAGCTTTTGTTTCCTTTTGAGCAACGTGGCAATAATGGCAAGCGGGGCTCATGTAAGGATGGAGGCACCTTGCAACAGAGTAGGGACTCAGCAATGGAATAGGGACATCCCCTCCCCACCACCCGCCACGGTCACCTGTGCGCATGAAGCACCTGCTACCATCTCCCAGGGTTTATGAGACCTGGAGAACAAATGTTATTCTCTTTCTTTATTTTTTTAATGTATTTCTTTCATTATTGATTTCAGAGAGGAAGAGATGGAGAGAGAAAGATAGACACATCAATGACGAGAGAGAATCTCTGATTGATCGGCTGCCTCCTGCACGCCCCCACTGGGGATTGAGCCCGAAACACGGGCATGTGCCCTGACCGGGAATCAAACTGTGACCTCCTGGTTCCTAGGTCGACACTCAACTACTGAGCCACACCAGCCAGGCTATTCTCTTTCCATGTCCAACTCAGCTCCATCACTAATCACACCTGTGGACCACACCTGTGGACCACGCTGAGTTCCTTAGGGAAGCTGTGGTAGAAATGCATCTATCACTGTGGTCTCCTTTCATGAGAAATGAAGACCCACTTATCAAACCTGCAGTCTTCACAGTCCCACGAAAATCTCTCCTTTCTGTGCTGCATTTGAACTGTGGCATCATCGATAGCCTCTTTTTTTAATGTGAAATTCACCATTTCACACCCCGAGACAGAGCAAATCTCAGTTGAGGGCCTGGCCCCTGAGGGTGGGCACAAGAGTGATCTGCTCTCCACTGGGACACCCCGCCGGCCCTGAAAGATGGTTGTTATCTCCAGAGGCTCTCTGTCTCTCGCTGACTCACCACCCCCCCACTGGCCATGAGCCACACAGAGGCAGCGATTTCCCCCCTTTGGGAAAGGGCAGCTGAGCGGGCAAGGGCCTTATCCTCGTCTGCGCCACACCTCCCACAGAGGAAGGAAAGTGCCGCTGGGCTGACAAGGCCATTTCCACACTGACCGCTGGAACACACTGCTCGCTACCCTCCGCTTCCATGGCAATGCCTCTGGAGCACACCCGTGTCTCAGATCCTGCCATGTACCTACAAAAACAACCAGTGACCTCATGGTGCAGACCAGCATGTGGATTTCCCTTCTTAAATACCTGAGAGTGTTACTGGCCATTAAAGAGCCACACGTGGTCTATGAATCTCCTCCCAGGACGTCTATTGGCCTTCTGAACAGCAGGTCATTAGCCGAGTCTCTCTGACTTCCCAGGTAAAGAAAATACATCATGTGACACATCCCAAGAGGTCATTCATGATCGGTCATGAAGAACAAAGAGGGCCTGGCAGGTGTGGCTCAGTGGTTGAGCCTTGACCTATGAACCAGGAGGTCACAGTTTGATTCCCAGTCAGGGCACATGCCTGGGTTGCGGGCTAGATCACCAGTGGGGGGCGTACAGGAAGCAGCCGGTCAATGATTCTCTCTCATCATTGATGTTTCTCTCTCTCTCCCTCACCCTTCTTCTCTCTCTAAATATCAATTTAAAAAAAAAACATTTTTAAAAAAAGAGAGGGGGAGAAACTAAGAGGGCACAGGTCCCTGCCCTTGAGTTTTCTGGGGGCTGAAGAGGGAAGAACTGGAGGAACCTTAGCTATGCCTACGCCCCTCTCTGGATGTCAGGAAGTGAGCACCCGGGCCACTCCGGGGCAGCAGATTCCAGGCTTTTCTCCTGGGAGGCTCTCTAAGGATGTGAGTTTCCCTCAGACGTTCTCACAGACGAGGCTACTACCGTGTAGGGTTCACATACTGTTGCCTCGAGCAACAGACACTCCTGGCCTGTCACCCCTGGTGAAGAACGGCTGTATTGCTTTTCATCACTCGGGTTGCGATGTTGAGATCATCAGCATGTTGTACGTAATCATATTTCCGACACCCTGTAGGATTTTTGATGATGACGGGTTGCCACAGGCAGGCAGGTGTGGAAATGGCAGCAGTGAAAAGCGACGTTAAGACACGTGTGCTCCCCCTCCTGCCTCTGCGATGCTGCCCCACTGGCCACTGGGAAACGAGATGGACTGGAATGGGTGCCGAATATTCCAGAGCTCATCTGGCCCCACCACAACCACATCCACTCGCACACGTGTTCCTCCCGAGTTAGGAAGACAACAACCACACAGTGGGGAGATCATCTCTGTTCAGAAAGTTCCCCCAACACGAGATAACGTCTCATGGGCAGCCCGAGTGGTGAGCCCGGCTCGGGAGGCAGCGGGCAGCTCTGGCGACAGTCCCTGCTCTAACCCTCTGCTGTGTGTGTGCCCTGCAGTCATAAGGAAGTGGCAGAAGAGAGGCGGGCAGCCCTGGCAGCTCCTCGAACCCGTCGATGGATTCCACCCCAATGAGGTGAGCCGTCACACCATGGTTGTTGACAACTACCTGTTAGCTTATTTTTTAATATAATTATGCATTCCACACATGGGTTAGATAGAAGAGTCAATAAAAGTAAAGGGAAAACCAGAGGAAGGGAAAACAAGGTGGAAATGATACCCGGCCTCTTGACGTAATGTCTACAGTTCACACTCATGTAAGGTGTGGGGGAAGTTCTGAGAGAGGCCTATAACCTCGCTCTGTGCTTTCCAGGGGTCAGTGCAGAGAGGGGCAGAGTCGTGGCCTCCATAACATAACACAGGTCAGGTACACACACAGATCCCAAGGATTCCTGAAAGCGAGACCTGTGAGAAATCTCTTCTGTGGATCTTTCTAGAAAGAACACTGTGAGAGGAAAGCAAAGGGAGCAGGAGGGCAGGACTCTGTCCCTCTCTGCCCCCACCCCGTCTATCATCCTGGCTTCAACCCAGGAAGCTCCATGTTTATCTGTCCCTCATCTGGACTGACTCATGATGCTTCTTTTTTTAAAAACTAGGGGCCCGGTGTACGAATTCAGCCCGATTGGGTTGGGGGGGGGGTGCCAATCAGGGGCGGGCCAGCTGCGGGGAGGGGCTGCAGCCTACGTGGGGGAGGGGCTGTGGTCAGTTGGTCAGCCGGCCCCACCCCCTGGTCAAACTCCTGGTTGAACTCCCAGTGGGTTGAGGGGACAATTTGCATATTAGCCTTTTATTATATAGGATAAGGATAAAAGAAGTAGTAGGGAAGGTGCTCTGCCACTTTCAAAATTTTGAAAGCTGAAAGTCCTCCACCACACTAGCCTTTCTGACTCAGCCTAGGTGAGGATGGGGTGGCAGTGACCAGGGTCCAACCTGAGAAGTGCTTTCGGTGTCCTCTCCTGTGGCCTTGGCCTTGATGGTCAGCCAGGCCATGGCGCAGGCTGGCCGTCCCTCAGGAGTGTGAGTGGAGCATAGCTCATCTTGCCCAGGCTCTGGGATGAACCCACAGCAGGGCTAACAGAAAAAGGGGAGTGCTCCTCCATCCACAGATGCGTGCACAGTGGAGTCCCACAAGTGCTGGGTAGATTTACAGTGAGTAATCAATGCCCATCTCACTAATAACCAAAAATAAATAAATCCAAAGCGTCTCAGAACATCTAACATTCCTGTGGATCTTGTGATCCAAGAGAACTTTGGGCCCTGACTGGTTTGGCTCAGTGGATAGAGCGTCGGCCTGCGGACTGAAAGGTCCCAGGTTCGATTCCGGAAAGTTTTGGAATAATGTGGAGACCTTCTGTCCGGCAATATTTAGGTAGTAGTGCTTGTCATTCTTTGTGCATCATAGCATTGTACCTTCTACTCTTCTGATTTGATAGAGAGAAGGGATATGAAGAAATGGTCAGAGAGGGAGTTAGTTAAGAACAAACTAGCCCGGCCAGTGTGGCTCAGTGGCTGAGCATCGACCTATGAACCAGGAGGTCATGGTTCAATTCCTGCCTGATCAGGGCACATGCCCGGTTTGCGGGCTCTATCCCCAGTAGGGGGCATGCACAAGGCAGCTCATAAATGATTCTCATCATTGATGTTTCTATCTTTCTCTCCCTCTCCCTTCTTCTCTGAAATCAATACAAATATATTTTTTAAAAGAATCATTAAATTAAAAAGAGCAAACTAAATAGAAGAGGGTTGAAGACAGCTTTGTTTTATCCCTTGGGACGAATCTGTCTGATCCATTACAAAAGCCATGCTGTCCCTCGAACGTTAGGGCTCAAGGCCTGTCGCACGGGACCTTATCTTACACTCGGATGGCTTTGCCTGCAACCGATGATTGAAAACGGAGTCAAAGCTGAAACCCGGCGTGTGCCATCATCTTGTTAACCGGGAGATCTGCGCACATGCTGGTGGTGGGTGGGGAGCGGACACCAGCGGGCAGCCCCACTACGCCGGGCGCCCGTGGACAGCAGTGCCCGAAGCCTGCCTATCTATCGTGTATATTAAGCGGCACAGTCCAGATTGCAACTTGTCATCTAAAAATGTGCGAGTGCCGACCCGACATCCAACGCTGTGAGAATCCGAGAGCGAACCGGAAGCCGCCCCTGCCGCTTGGGGAGGTCCTAGTGTAGAGTGACAGGGTGACAAGGACGCAGATAATGACACGTGAAGTGGAAAATGCCTCTGCTGTGCACGCGCAGATGCTGTGGGGCATGGTGGGGGATGGGAGGCAGGGAGGGCCGTCGGAGGGACCCCGAACTAGGCAGGGAAGGACAGAGGGGAGGGGTGATCGCCGCGGCTTTGCTCGGCAGAGTCCTGGATGTGAACGAGAGCGTGGCACGTGGGAGGCGGTGAAAGAGCGTTGGTGCCGCTGGAACGCGGCCCCAGAGTTGGGGGGGAGGAACAGGAGAAGCATCCAGGGCCCAGGCCACCTAAGTTCTGGATGGGCTTTGGCCGTCCTCCTGTGGGGAACTGAGAGCCACTGAAGGTTTTAAGCAAGAAAGATACCTGGCCCTACCAGGTCTGGCTCAGTGGATAGAGTGTCGGCCTGCGGGCCAAGGGTTCCTGGGTTCAATTCTGGTCAAGGGCACATATCTTGGTTGCAGGCTCCTCCCCAGCCTGTGCCCTGGTCGGGGCGTGGACAGGAGGCAACCAATCGATGTGTTTGAGAGAGAGAGAGACTGAACAAAGGTAGTGGAGGGGAAGGAATGGTTTGCATTGGAGAGACGCAGACAGCTCCATCAACAGGGCACCGTCCCTCCTTGGATGTGCGGGTAGAGGGGAGAGATGCTAAGCAGGCACTTCCTGGGAAGTTGGAAGGATGATCCGTTGCCACTGAGGCAAAGAGCACAGGGATGCAGGTGCGCTGGGGAGGAGTGTGGCACGTGATGGGCTTACGGAGCCCCAGGAAGTGCACGCGGGATGCCCTTTCTGCAGGTAACACACAGCGCTGAGCTCAGGGAAAGACACAGAAGCGAGCGGGAGCCTTGAAGAGGAGCCTCCGGAACCCCCTGCTCCCTCCCTCCGGCAGAGGCGGTGCTCATGAATCCACTAGACCACAGGCAGCTATGGGCGTCCACATTTTTCCACCTTTTTTAAAACATATTTTTATTGATTTCAGAGAGGAAGGGAGAGAGAAGGAGAAACATCAATAATGAAAGAGAATAACTGATCGACTGCCTCCTGCACGCCCCCTTACTAGGGATCAAGCCTACAACCCAGGCATGTGCCCTTGACTGGAATCGAACCCAGGACCCTTCAGTCTGCAGGCCGACGCTCTATCCACTGAGCCAAACCAGCCAGGGCTCCGTCGTGAAAGAGCCAAGCGAACACGTTTGGCCTCAGGACCCCCTCCTACAGCATGGACATCATGCAATCCAAGGAGCTCACTCCGACCTTTCCAAGTGCCCCTCACCCGCTCCTGTGCCTCAGAGCAAACAGGGGCTGGGAAGGAC